ACGCATGAGTTTGTGTCTTGTGTTACAAAACTAATCAAAACTAAAAATCGATAAAATTAAACGATCGAATTGACTGAATGTATTACTCTTAATCTAGTAAACTTTATCTGTTTGGTAAGATATGACATATTAAAAATATCGATATTTGTAATATCTTAGTTGGTAACAATAACTTTATCTATGAAATCTTGTTCATATTTGTGTTTATCTTATTTTTTGAAATATATGTTTATAGTTTTATGTTTGAATGTATCATATTATTTTATCTTACTTTACGAGAATCTAATACTAGTATAGTTTTTCTATAATACATTTCATGTTCTATTTTCGATAAAAATTTAAAATTACACTAGTATCATTAATGTACATTGTTCAGAAAAATTATACTAAAAGACATGGACTAAACTTTTAGTTATAATTCATTAATGTACAGTTTATTTAGTAGAAGCAAAAAAAAATGTGTTTTTTTTTTGTTAAAGGGAATTTGAAGCATTTATTTATGCTGGTCAACAAAAATCAACACATTAACTATTTGATTTAATTGACAAAAAAAAAAGTATTTTGATTTAATTATTTCGAATTTATGCCATACGTGACAAAACGAAGTTGTACGGGATTTGGAGCGGTGATATAACAGCCAATCAGACTGCAGTCACGTCATTCAACCTTCAAACGCGTGAAATCCCTAAAAGCCACGTGTGACTGCTAAACTCACGCTACTGTCATAAACACCGTTGCGTGACAGACGTTGATTTTCCGACACGTCAGCAGATATAGTGGCTGCTTTACGGGATTTTTAGGTAGACCCCACTGAAAACTGGTGCGTGTTTTGTGTGGAAGAGAGTTTCATTGTTATAATCCATCTAATAACAAACGGTGACTCTCTCTTTACAATTTTATCTCAATAATAAAAATAAATGTCTTAAACCTAATAAACTACAATCATAAATGTCGCATGAAAATGTTAGAAATGCTGAACATTTGAAAATTTTAGATATATTTCCCATGGTGTAAAATAATATGAGAAATTTGAACATAAAGTCAACGCTACACAATGATTTTTATTCGATTTTATATAACAATTGGAAAAAAAAAGTTTATTCTCACATTTTC